CCTTATTTCCTCATCTCCTCCTTTCCTTATTTCCTAACCCCCTTATTTCCTCCTGTCCTTATCTCCTCATTCGCTTGTCTCATCTCCTCATTTCCTTATCTCCTTATTCCCTTATCTCCTCTTGTCCTCGTCTCCTTGTGTCCTTATTTCCTTTCCTTCTCCTCCTCCTTCGGTCAGACTGTAGTTGCCGTCGGTCACCAGCGGGTGTCGCTGTGCTTCCTGTTTCAGGTTCCTCCTGTTGGAGGGCGTCGGCGGTCCGGTTTCTGATCGCAGTCACGTCTTCAGCAGCTTCTTCTTCCGCCAGCTGAGCCGCCGGCGGGCCGCCGGCGAGGACGCCGCCTCATCCGTCCCGTAAGGACGCCACCTGCAGGTAGTACCGAGTGCAGCAGCAGCAGCTCCAGGCTCAGAGTGTGTTCTGTTTCAGAGACCGCCAGGTGAGGCATCAGCGGGTCAAGACCTGGACGCGTCACGTCGACATCTTCACCAAAGACTTCCTGTTTGTGCCTGTCAATCAAGAGTAAGTTCCTGTCGGTTCAGTTCAGTCAGAAGGTCCCAGTTTGATGGAACATCATGTGGAAACCAGGGAGGCCTTCAGTCAGCTGTGTGTGTGTCTGCAGAGCCCACTGGTTCCTGGTCGTGGTGTGTTTTCCTGGACTGCAGGAGAATCGATACGAGAAGTTTCAGCGGCAACCAGGTGAGACGCTGTTGATGTCGTTGTTCCCAGTGTTCCCATTGTCTCCAGTGTTTCCAGTGTTAATAATCATAATAATTTTATTTATAAAGCACTTTTGGTCAAAGTGCTGTACAGGCAGTAAATCAAACACAATCAATAAAACAACACAATCCAACAACTCCGGACACATAGGCTAAGGTGCACATGTGGGTCTTTAGCTTTCAAACATCCACAGAGCAGGCCTGTGTCATGTCCAGAGGGAGGCTGTTCCACGGTGTCGGGCCAATGAGAAGGCTCGCTCACCAACACTCTTCCTGACCTTCGGCACAGCCAGCAGTGCAGAGGGCACGAGAAGGTGCATACAACGTGACCAGACCGAATAAATAAGAGGGTGCCAGTCCATTTAAAATGTAAAAAGTCAATAAAAGCACCTTAAAATCAGCACGAGCCTGACATGGAAGCCAGTGCAAAGAGGCCAGCACCGGGGTCGTGGGATCGGATTTTCCAGCTCCAGTCAGAACCCGAGCTGCAGCCTTTTGCACCATCTGCAGGACTCTGAAACTTTTCTTGGGTAGTCCTGACAGGAGGGCATTACAAAAAGCGTGGATGAGGACTTCAGCGTCTTTGTCACTTAAAATTGATCTTAGCGATCCTTCAAAGATGAAAAAATGGTATTTTTGTCACCTCCTTCATGTGCTTATCAAAAACAAGAGTCTGATGGAATATAACACCAAAGTTTTTCATCTTGTCTCTGCCAAGAATAATAAAATCATCAAGAGACAAGGACACATTACTAAATGCGTTCTGTAGCTTCTGGGGTCCAATGATCATCATTTCAGTCTTTGCGGAGTTAAGGAAAAGGACGTTTTTAGAGAGCCAGTTCCTAATAGCTGAAAGACAATGTTCAAGTTTTGACATATCAGACCCATTTCCACATATTAAAGGCATGTATAATTGCAAATCATCTGCATAACAGTGGAAAGCAATTTCAAGAGATTGTAATAATTTACCAAGTGGTGCAAGATATAATGAAAAGAGCAGGGGACCTAGCCCAGAGCCCTGAGGAACCCCGTGCTTCACTGCGCAAGAACCAGACAAGACATTATTAAATAGAACACACTGACATCTGTCTGACAAATACGACTTAAGCCATGACAGCACATTGCCCGAGATGCCAAAAAGGTGGTGAAGTCAGTGTCCCCAGTGTCCCCA